CTTTTCTCTCTCTTTTTATTCTTTTTCTCTCTCTTTTTATTCGTTCTCTCCCTCCTTTTAATTCCTTTTCTCTCTCCTTTTTATTCCTTTTCTCTCAATTTTTTATTTCATTTTTACCTCTTTTTATTCTTTCTTTCTATCTCTCTCTCTCTCTCTTTGTATTCCTTTTCTCTCTCTTTTTTATTCCTTTTCTCTCTCTTTGTATTCCTTTTCTCTCTCTTTTTTATTCCTTTTCTCTCTTTTGTTTTCCTTTTACTCTCTCTTTTATTCCTTTCTTTTCTCTTCCTTTTCTCTCTCTTTTTATTCCTTTTTATTCTCTTTTTGAGAATCCTATTCTCTCTTTTTTATTCCTTTTCTCTCTCTCTCTTTGTATTCCTTTTCTCTCTCTTTTTTATTCCTTTTCTCTCTCTCTCTTTTTATTCCTTTTCTCTCTTTTTTTTTTCCTTCTCTCTCTCTCTCTCTCTCTCTCTTTGTTTTTTACATTGCTTTACTTGTTTCATTTTTGTCTTGTTGTTTTTTCTTATTCGCTTCCACTGCACCCAATTATAATCCTAGACTCTGAATTTTACTCTTGCGCAATGGTTGGTTCATTTATATTTTAGGACTATGAATTTGTACACAAGGTAGTATCTTAATTTTACAATTAAAATAATAGTTTTACTAAAGTGCATCAAACATCTGATGTCAATGCAGACTTGACAAGAGTAACATGAGTCAAATCAATCGATAATTGTGTATGGACGAGTGTTTGCATATGTCTGCATGTGCGTGTGTGTGTGCGCGCACATATTTGTGTGTGTGTGTACACATATTTGTGTGTGTGTGTGTGTGGACACATATTTTTGTGTGTGCATATGTTTGCATGCATACATGTTCATGCATGTGTGTGCCCACATGTGTGTGCATGTGTATTTACGTGGGTGTGCATGTATTTGCATGTGTGTTCTTCAATCACAAAAAACATCAACTTAGGGAAAAAGTACTAATGATTCCTTATTTAAGCATACACAAAAATACACGCACTTCTTTCTTTAGTTTTTCGGATCTGATGAAGCCTAGAAAAGTGAAACATGTAATCAAATCTAGTTTCAATAAAACATTTTTCCATTTAGCAAATTTCTTAAAAACTTTGTTGGGATTCCATATCCTATTTTAAACACATATCTATCTATATATAATACTAAAACTCTAATTTTGTATGTATGTGTTTCCAAGATACAGCTTAAATGGTACCAACTAATTTAGAAGCATATTGTATCTTGTACACATGGCAAGTGCAGTAGCAAATTTCATTAAAATTAAACAAGGGGTTCTTGAGCTAGGGTCGTTTTTCTGTTTTTCTGGCATTTTTAATAGGAAATTCAGTATGTGTTTCAATACAAATTTTTATATCAATCAGCATATATAAACAAAAATTTACATACTATATTTCAACTATTATGTATGTGAAAAATAATAAATATGTATAATACATTATAACAATATTATTAAATAACTTTAAATAACTTTAAATATGCATAAAAATATATATTTACACAATTCACTGCACAACATTAGAACTTTTTTATAAACAAATATCTCAGATGTTTGGCAAGTAATTTATAGGTGAAGATTCTACATAAGTGCGGCATTGTAAAATGTAATCTGTATGGCTGGAAAATTGTGTCACATAACTTGATAATAAATTTCTAAATGCATGCTGATTTGCAGGTGTTACACACTTTGAAATAAATGTGATGAAGAAACGAAACAAGTATGTATAATAAAAAATATAATTATTATTTTGAAAAAATTAGCTATACAAAATGAAACTATATGCACAAAAAGGAGGCATCTATACTTTACATTATTCCATATAAATCTCTTTCAGCAGATGATTGTTGTTTTTTATTCATGAAATCAATATAGGAATTGTTAAAACTATTAAATTTATTTCAATGACACTATATTAATAATTTTAATATGTTAAAGTTTTATTGGGTTTTTTCTGTTGCCCTTTATATCAAGGACTATATTTTTTTCCAAAATTCTGAAAACCTTTTCATTTATTAATTTCTTATTGCATTTGATCTAAGTAGTATTGTATAATGTGAGTAATAATAAATATTACAATAACTTGTATTACAAATACAAATTAAAATATGTATAATCTTACTTATTATAAAATGCAGATTGTGTGTGTGTGTGTGTAGATGTGTGTGTGTGTATGATGTGTGTGTGTGTGTGTGTGTGTGTGTGTGTTATGTGTGTGTGTGTGTGTGTGTCTGTACGTTTATATATTGGATCGGATTTCCTACATTTTTCAACCAATTTCAACAAAACTTCACAGGACTACGTAAAATTACCTTTGCGGTGGTTCTGACAGCACCAAAATTGGAAAAACACAATTGTTTTTGCAAAAAATCAATTTGAAAACACGATTAAAACACGATTCTGAATGAAAGAATAACTCATATCGAGTTATACTTATTATAAAACCCAGGTTGTTTGGGTGTGTGTGTGTGTGTTCATTTATATATGTGTTCGGATTTCCTACATTTTTCAACTGATTTCAACAAAACTTCACTTTTTTTTTTGTATTGTCTTGCACACTTTTTCTTTATTTTTACATTCAGAATGCTTTAAAAATTCCATTTACAAGACAGTTGTTTATAATAAAATTCTATTCAATCAGTAGACTCATAACGATTGAAAACAATGTTTTTGTTTGAGTTTGTGTTTGACCAATTCATAAAAAAAAAAAAAAAAAACAAATATGACATGCGTGTCCATCAACCTTAAACAATAATATTTATCAATTTTATTTTTCAGTCTTTATGATGGTTGATACTTGATCTATCTCTTACTGTTACATCCCCGGGCAATGCCGGGCTCTACTGCTAGTTAATAATAAAATTGACAATACTGTTACCTCATCATTTTGTATCATGAAATGCTTTTAAAAGGAACCTAACAGGTCTAGTAATATATATTATATACTGAATATATTATACATATATTATGAATATATATTATGCATTAGATATGTTAAAATTATGAACCAGAAGGAAAAATCTACAACAGAAAACAAAGGAAATAATAATAATAATAATAGTTATGATGCCTGGTTGATATATATATATGATATATATATATATATATATATATATATATATATATATATATATATATATATATATATATATATATATAATAATATTGTTGGTCAATATTTATTTATACCTAATTACCAATGGTCCTTTATTAACATCCCAACTACAGAAGAAAAAAAATTAAGGCCATCAAATTTCTTGGATTTAAAAAATCAAAATATCATCCAATCTAAAAATCATAAATTTTCTAGACGTTACATTTAATCTCTCATTTTTTAACACCGATTGTTTTTCCAAAAAAGAAAACCAATCACCCATATATAAACTCAAACCACCCAAAAGCAATTATAAACCAAATTCCAAATACAGTAAATACAAGAATAAACAAACTGTCTACTAGTAAAATAATTTTTAACCAAAACAAATCAACATATAATCAAATCCCTATTAAAAAGTAACTTCAAACAAATATTAAATTATATAGGTAAACCAATTAATAACACATCCACTAAGTCCCAAAATAGGAAAAAGAAGATTATATGGTTCAACCCGCCTTTCTGTAAACTATCTAATATCAATATAGGGAAATACAGAATATAGATAGATAGATAGATAGATAGATAGATAGATAGATATAAACAGACTAACACTAATAGATAGAAAAATAGATAGATGGATATAAACAAACTTAGATAGATAGATAGATAGATATAAACAGACTAACACTGATAAATAGATAGAAAAATAGATAGATATAAACAAATTTAGATAGATAGATAAATACAAAGAAACTAACTTTGAATGATATCTGAGACTAATCTGCTGAATATTGCACTAAAGTAACTTCCCTTTTTTAGGCTTCATGCCAGCAAAATTTGGTAAGAAATGTTAATTTGTACTTTTCATAGAATTGCGAGAACTATAATGATTAAACATCTAATATCATTTGAACCCACTACTAATAGCTTGCATGTTGAGCTTGTTTACTAGGTCAGGAGTGGCCAAAATTGCTTCATGTAAGAGCAACATACGATAAAGTTGTGTTGTTTGAGAGTGGCAAGGCATGAATAAAAATTAAACATATATCAAAGATCCTAATCTGTTGCTCCAGTCTTTAAGAACAAAGAGTAGCCATCCAATGCTACCAACTATTGGGCTATTAGACTTCTACCTGTTTTGGGTAAATTACTAGAAGCCCTAATCAATGCTGAATTAGTTAAGCATCTTACATCACTGGGCCTTCTTTCAGACAAAAAATACAGCTCTCGTTTCTCTAAGTTAGGTGTGGCCAAAGTTGCTTAATGTAAGAGCCACATTGAGAGCTGAAAGACTTGAACAAAATTTACACATACATTTTTGTTACATACATGAAACTTATGTTACATACATGAAACATGTTTTAATCCAACAATTCTTAATCTCAATTCATACCCAGTAAATAATTATGAAATTTGAAATTTTTTTTATTTACCTTTTTATATTAACTGTGATGGCAAAAGGACTCAGCCAACATATTTCAATGAGTTGCATATTAAAGGTCAAAGAGCCACATGTGGTTTGCAAGCCACAGTTTGGCCATCACTGACTTAGAGTAAAAAAAATTGGGAATTTTTTTTTGTCTGAATTTCTGAAATGAGGAGTTATCATTATTTGAACCATTTATATTTGGACTATTGCCCTCTTCTTTCTTGTTTTATCACAATGTTTTGGCTGTTCTGATAAAAGCAACAAAGATGAAGATAATAGTCTGAATACAAAGTGTGTAAATAAAAATCAGGAAGTTCTGAAGAACTGTTAATGAAGCTCATTGTAAATGGAGTGAGAGAGAAAGAGGGAGAGAGAAAGAGAATGAGAGAGTGAGATAAAGTGAGTGAGAGAGAGAAGGTGAGAGAAAGAATGAGAGAGAGGCTAAGAAAGAGAGTGAGAGAGAGAGTAAGAAAGAGATGTAGAGAGAGAGACAGACAGACAGAGAAGTACATATTGCCAACAGGTAATATTTTGATAATGAATAAAAGAAAATATTTGAAAAATGTTTACCTTTAAATGGGCTTACAGAAAAATTTTTATCTTATATTTGTCCTGTTGGTAATCACTCACTTTTAGGACCAAGAGGAGCTTTTGTTTGGCACTGAAATATCAGAAGCTGTAAATAGAATATGAAAAACAATTAACTGATTAATTAATTGATTAACTAGTTAAAATTAATTAATAAAAATTTCATATATATATATATGACATTATGAAATGGACAAAGTTCGACAATTATTTAAGACATTTTTTATGTTTATATGTTCTTTTTATAGATACAAATATTTAAGTAAATGTGCTCTTTATAATAAACAGTATTAACATCATTTATTGGTCTGAATGTCCGAGAAATTTTCATAGTAAATATGCATCCTCCGACAGGATTCGAACCTGTATCCTAAACGGAAGTGTCATATAGCCTGACGTGCCTTAACCAATTGAGCCACAGAGGAGCGTTCGGTTAGCAAGATCGATTTTACTGTTTTTAAACTACAATTTTCCATGATTTTCTTGTACATTCATATCTGCTCAATGTGTATCCAAATGTAAACAAATGACGTCTACATTATGAAATGGACAAAGTCAGACAATTATTTTAAGACATTTTTATGTTTATACATTCTTTTTATAGATACAAATATTTAAGTAAATGCTCTCTTTATAATAAACAGTATTAAAGAACATTTACCAGCCTGAATGACTGAGAATTTTTCATAGAAAATATTCGTCCTCCGACAGGAATCAAACCTGTATCCTATATTATAAACAGAGCAATTACTTAAATATTTGTATCTATAAAAAAATGTATAAACATAAAAAATTTATATATATATATATATATATATATATATATATATATATATATATATATATATATATATATTTATATATATATATATATATATATGATTCTTCGAATAATATGAAAAAGAACTTATAAAGCCAATGCATTTCACTGTCTGAGGCAAATACATTGATAAAGTCCCTCAAAGGATGAAACACATTGACTAACATAAGTTTTCCTTCTTTCTTTATTCAAAACGAATTATACAAAAAAAGAATTTCATAAGGATAAATATATGAATATATACACATATAAAACCTATCTCATTATATGCAAAAATATCATTCCAAGCAAGGCAATAAAGGCACTATGACGCAAGAGAGTTACTGAGTGCAAGAGAATATGGGAAAATACTATTAAAGTGAGAGAACAATAGAAGAACAGGAATTAAGAAGACACCAATTGACATTACATTTAAATTTTTGAAGATCAAAATTGACTAGAAAGCAAGTGCCTGGATTATAGTTCCACAAACAAGAAGTATGAGAGAAGAAATTGTTACTATAGAACTTATAGTTACATCTAGACGTTTCAACTGTAAAATGATGAGACCTTGCTGCCAATCTAGTACTGCTCTTAAATTCATAAAGTTGCAGCATCTTGTGGTTTTGGGAGAAACTACACCTAGCACAGCCTATTCAATTTCTTTATCCGCTATACAAAATTTGTATATATATTTATAAATATATATTTATAAATATATATTTTGTCTTAGAAAAAGATATAATTTTGTCTTAGAAAAAAAAACACCTTAATGATGTCATTGTGCCAATGTCAAAAGTATTCAGAATAAATGAATGTGTATCAACATGGTAATTTTCTCTCTTCTTTTAATAAGAATACTAAAAAGCTTGTCTGTGAATATTAGAGTAAAAAATAAGTAAACGAAATTTTTTAAAATTATTCGTTGAGACATGTCTTAAGGAAAACTTAATGAAAACATGCTGCCAAAATATACGATATATATATAAATATGTATGTTATGGGATCTTACCCATCATAATAATAATGAACTATTCCATACTTAATAAATACTGCACCTCAAGAGTAGGCATTTCTAGTCACTCGCTCAAATCAACTGAGCGACTGTTCGGTTAAACTCTCTTCCTACGGAAAGGAGGAACCCGAAGGAGGCTACATGCCGAAGGGCGGAGTCTCCTTTGGGAGAGGGAATGGCCCAGAACCCGTTTATACGGGTTCAAATAATAAGAATTTTGCGAGCCTAATGGCTCGGGAATTCCCACGTTAAAAAAATTCTTGTGCCATGACACCCCTCGTGGGGGGGGGGTGACTGAATATTGTCAAATTCAAGTCGCTCACTTTCTGAACCGACTGTTTGGTTAAATCTCTTCCTATGGGCGGGAGGACCCAGAGGCTACGCCGAAAGGGCGGAGTCTCCTTCGGGAGGTTCTTCGCCCAGAACCCGTTTATACGGGTTCAAATGGGCATATTTTTTTGCCGAGCCCAATGGGCTCGGGAATGCCCACGTTAAAAGGCCTTGTGCCACATCACACCCTCGTGGGGGGTGACTGAATATTGTCAGTAGTTCAAGTCAGTAGTTCAAGTCGAGTCAAGAGTCAAGTCAGAGGCAGTCCGAAACAGAGTCGCGTTCAGACAATTACTGCAAGACATTGGAATAGTGATACTGGTCAAGACTACATTGTTCTCTCTACTAAACCTGATTGTTCATACTAACACTTCTACTTCTCTGTATATATTCCTGTTTGTAATATATCTGTGTTATTCCATACCTGTGTTCGAGTTCTTCTTATTGGTTCTACCTTGGACTATCACCGTGGTACAAGAAACCGGACCATAACAATATATATAAAGATATGTCTCATTGAATAATTTTGAGATGTTTTGTCTACTAATTTTCAATAAAATCTGCTCATATTCACAGACAACTCTAGGTAACATACAAGAAATTTCATAAAAAAATTACCATGAAAATATTTATAGAAAAAGCTCAGGTAGTGGGGAAGTGATTCTAAAGATTTCTGTACACATTTCAATGAGAAATATTGTAAAGAAAATGGGAGAAAGTAAGTTTAAGAGAAAATAATAGAGTCTGATACCAGATTATGTAATATGCTTAACCACACATATCCATTAACCATTAACAGTCAGTGGAATTGTGATTCCTAGTGTATTCAAATTAAAAGAACACTCCAACAAATAAACTACAACCGAGGAAAATTATTAATGTTAGCTGCAAAAATGAATGATAAAAACATGAGAAAATACACTGTCAAAAAAAAGTAATAACAAAGATATCTCATGTGGTCAAACACAACAAATGCATGGTGATGAATTTAAAAGTGAACATATATTCTTTAATATTAATAATCTATAAATATTAAAAACAATATAAATCTCAATATTAAAAACAATATGAACTTTAACTGCTGCCATAAATGATTAAAAAGTAGACATATCAATCAGACAGATGTACATAAGTTTCAAAAATACGTGATGACAGAATATATGAATCTATAATATGAAAGACACTGCATCTAAAATCTTCAATATTTCAATGTACATCAAAAATTAAAGTTTGAAAACAATTATATGCGATAACAGAGAGTGTAGAGAATACCAAGAAAATCTCATATGAGAAATTCAGATGGAAAGAGGGCCTGAGTATACAGAGAATATAATGTTATAATAAAGACAACAAAGATGAGGAAACTGGTCTGAATGAATCAATGTATAATAGTAAGAACACCTCATCTGAAAACATCAGATAAAAACAAGGCCTGAGGGTAGAGTGACCAAATGTTATAATAAAGAAACAAAGATGTATAATATGAATCAATGTATAATAGTAAGAACACCTCTGAAATCATCAAAAGAAGGCCTGAGGGTAGTGACCAAAATGTTATAATAAAGACAACAAAAATGATGAAGGAAACTGGTCTGAATGAATCAATGTATAATATCTGAGAAAAGAAAAACACTTCATAAGGCTGAGGGTAGAGTGACCAAAATGTTATAATAAAGACAACAAAGATGAGGAAACTGGTCTGAATGAATCAATGTATAATAGTAAGAACACCTCATCTGAGAAATTCAGATAGAAAAAAGAGGGTAATGCCTGAAAATGGTAATAAAGACAACAAAGATGAAAATGAATCAATGTAATAAAAGAAAAAGATTTTCTTCATCTCCAAAATTATGTAAAGACAACAAAAAGATAGGAAACTGGTCTGAATGAATCAATGTATCAGTAAGAACACCTCATCTGAGAAATTCAGATAGAAAGAAGGCCTGAGGGTAGAGTGACCAAAATGTTATAATAAAGACAACAAAGATGAGGAAACTGGTCTGAATGAATCAATGTATAATAGTAAGAACACCTCATCTGAGAAAAAATGTTATATAAAGACAACAAAGAAAGGAAACTGGTCTGAATGAATCAATGTATAATAGTAAGAACACCTCATCTCCAAAAAAGAAGGCCTGAGGGTAGAGTGACCAAAATATATAATAAAGACAACAAAGATGAGGAAACTGGTCTGAATGAATCAATGTATAATAGTAAGAACACCTCATCTGAGAAATTCAGATAGAAAAGAAGGCCTGAGGGTAGAGGACCAAAATGTTATAATAAAGACAACAAAGATGAGAAAACTGGTCTGAATGAATCAATGTATAATAGTAAGAACACCTTATCTGAAGAAATTCAGATAGAAAAGATAGGCTGAGGGTAGAGTGACCAAACATGTTATAATAAAGACAACAAAGATGAGGAAACTGGTCTGAATGAATCAATGTATAATAGTAAGAACACCTCATCTGAGAAATTCAGATAGAAAGTAGGCCTGAGGGTAGAGTGACCAAAATGTTATAATAAAGACAACAAAGATGAGGAAACTGGTCTGAATGAATCAATGTATAATAGTAAGAACACCTCATCTGAGAAATTCAGATAGAAAAATGGCCTGAGGGTAGAGTGACCAAAATGTTATAATAAATAACAAAGATGAGGAAACTGGTCTGAATGAATCAATGTATAATAGTAAGAACACCTCAT